AAATATTGGTTTTTGTACCATATTCAATTTAATACTTATCAAACAAAATTTACTAATCACTGCTTTCTGTTTTTAGCATTTCAAAAATCCCAACTTTTTTGGAGTTGGGTTTGTAAAACTTGTAAATTCTGTTCCCTGTGTGTCATCAGAAATGCTGAATATTGGATCCATAACCTTATATATCCATAGCATTGTTATTCCCATGGCAGCCAAATCTTCCTGTAGGCCATTGACAGTGATGTGGGAGTTTTGCTTTGCATACCTGAAACAGTCTATGAGCATCTTATCTTGAGTTCAGCAGTATGGCTTAATTTCTATTTATTAATGACATTTCAGACTGTGGGAAGCAGGAAGTGTTTAGATATCCTTTTATAGCCTTCTACTGCTTTGTAAGATTAAATTATCTTTAGTTTCATATCCTCAGCTGCTTGAGAAGCCCACAGCTGTTGAGTGTAAGCACAAGATCCTGAGAAGGGCACAGAATTTATTACACATCGGAAATTGTCTACACTTGACTTGAAGTAAGGCCTAATGGTTCCATGCAGAGGTGGTTAAAAAGGTGTAATCGACACAGGGGTTTCCAAACTTTTGCCTACAGTTAAAAATGGTCTATTTGATTACTTTGGTCATTTGAGTTAATATGCTTCCTGTCCGTATGCGACATTTGTCACTTTGGGTTGGCTAGTGTCAAATGTGGGTGGGCCTAAGCCCATTGGGCCCAATCGTGCCACTGCTACCGGTATGACACTTATCAAACATGAGTGCGTAAAAAAAATAAAAGATTCAATAATTCAGTGATTTAGTGAGCAAAGTGACCAACATTTTCTGTTCACATTCCACTGGATGCCAAGTCTGCCCCCTAAACCAGCACATGAAGGCCTCTATATTCAGACCATTACTCATATATAGACACTACACATGCTACATATACAGTCCATTACTCCTGATAAAACTTTCTTCATGTTATAGTCACACAACAGCTTCTGACAACTTTTACTTTAAAATCGACTAAAGGAGACGCATCCTTCTTGCGATCGATCTTAATGATGGGCATTAAAAATATCCTCCTGGAAGATGACGATTAAGAGCCATTAAGAGCCATAAACAACCCTGCCATGCTTAACAGCTTTCTGCTCTGATAGTTTAAGAATAATGAAGTTTTTGTTGGCAATGGATTCCATAAAGTAGCTTTACACTCACCATTTGTCTACAACATTAATATTTTACCCAAGACTGGTTTGCTCATGAAATATAGATTCCTTCTGAGGTTTAATGCCTTTTTATTATTTTTTATTTTTTTGAGGCACAGTAATATCTGAAAGCCATAGATTTGCCACCCCTAATGCTGCCTTTGTTATTCCGTCCTCGATTCTGAGCTGCTCCTTGTGAGCCAAAGACAGATATTCTGCATTCCAAAAGCCCTTATATGCATACATAATTGATGTTTGCCGTCCAGTGTAGGTGGACTGAATAGTACTGGATCAGGATTTGATCCAGATTAGGGCACAAAGTGAGGTGTAGGCACCTTCGAATGAATCACTAATACAAAAAAAGGGAAGTAAGAAAGAATTGTCGGCTCTTACGTAAACTAATCTGCGTGAAATTTCGAAGGTGGAAATGGAGTATTAGCTGAAGGATTGCGGAGAATGTCTCAATTTGTTAGCCTGAATTCTGGGTTGATTTGCAGTCCTCAGTGTGCCCGGAACCTTAAATCAACCAGTATCTTAAAGGGGGGAGAAGCTGTTTGAAGTCTGTTACTACCTTCAGTCTGATGGACACTCACAGGCCTCTTTAATAGAAACACCAGCAGAGCCTTGCACACCTTGCTGACGTACAATTAGAGACTTGTAACGTCCAGGGAGCCTGCTTGGCCACCTAGGAGGGGCTGGAGAGCCAGCACTGAGTAATTAGGGCAGAGTGTTAGCAGCTGTGGGCACCCTAATTTAAGGGGTGCTCACACGCTCCTCGGTGCTCAGTCTTGAGTTGATGCTGCTACATTTATGTCGCCTTGACTCAACCAATAATCTCCATACCTGTCTCAAGTTTCGAGTCTTTACTTTTGTCCTGTTGGTCTCCAGCATAAGTATCGGTGCGTAACAAGACTGTGGCCTGTGTAATCTTGCCGTGCACAAATTTCACTAGCCCTGGTGCCGACTGCACCAACATGTCTCACCTAAAGGTCACAGTTCACCAGATGCACCACGTAGCACTCAATAATACAAAACCATTGTTGTCAATGAAGCTATGCACACCTGTGCAGTCCAGTGGCAGCGTACTTTACACCACTCCAGCCAACACTTGGCATTGCACATAGTGGTCTTAGGCTCACGTGCATCTGCTCGGCCAGGGAAACTCATTTCATGAAGCTTCCAATGCACAGTTCTTGTGATGGTGTTGCTTCCATAGGTAGTTTGGACTCAATGAGTGATGCCACAGAGGATAGCAGCCCCGCTCAATGAGTTTGTGTGGTCTATCACTTTGTGGCTGAGCTGTTGTTGCTCCTAGATGCTTCCATTTCACAATAAAAGCACTTACAGTTGACTTGGGCAGATCTAGCACTATGACAGTACCTACGTCAGGCCATATTTAAAGTCATTGGCTATCCATTCTACTGCCAATATTTGTCTGTGGTGATTATATGGCTATGATGATGGCATGGTTTGATTTTCAAATATATGTTGAAGGTTTTATTTCATTGAATTTCTATGAGTGAAGTATAAAAAAGACGTTTATTGACACTGCAATGCATTCTATAGTGGTGCTCTGCTATGTGACAATACGTGACGGAAGTAGGTGCTTCTAATAAAGTGGAGGGTGAGTGGATAGTGTTTGACCACTTAATTGGTCAGTTATACAATTATCTATGTATTTTTTATAACTGACCATTTAAGTGGTCAAACACTTAATTATCTTACAAATATTATTACTAATCCATAATGTAACAATAGGTCAGACAGTTTGCATTGTAGTTGCAATGTAGTTACAGAATAATAAGGCCTAGGATGTAACAAGCATATCTAATAATGGATTACCTGCACAGATGTGGCTGCAGAGAAGATAGCATGCAACAGTACCTGTCTTATTGTGGAAGGAGATGGAATCAGATGCCAGCTCACAACTTTGTGGCTACTGAAAACATGACAGTAACGATTTCGGTTCCTTTACACTCCCACATGTAAGTATTAGCTCTAGTTGGTGGTAAAGCAGGTGATGACATCACTGGAGGGTGATGAAGCGATTTCAGATTTAGTAAACTGAATCCAGAAGTGGGTTCTTGTTTCCTTTTCTCAGTTTCAGTACTTCTACATATCGTCACCGTCTGAACAAAACATTGTAAAATGATGACTTTACAGACGAAGAGAAAAACCTTCTGAAATTTGAATTGAAGTTAATGGAACAAGTTTTCTTTCCAAGTAATATTGGACTATTTCTGTTGATCCGTTCATCATGAAATTTGAAAATAATTCAAAGGAAATTTTGCATATATTTTTTAAAAAAAAAAGAAAATCCACAGAAATGGAGCTACAAAGTTGTGTGACAACAATGTTACGCTCAGTTCTACAGTGTGTTTATGAAGTAATGAATAATGAGTAATGTTTACATTCTGTGCTGGTTCTATTTTAGTTATTCACATTTGGTTTCCAGCAGGTGTACACAGATTTGTACTGGCCACTCGGCTACCAGCCCAGTGAATCTTGTGGCCACATTTAAGAATTATTGTATATGGATCATTCTACTGAACTGAGTTCATAACACTTTAAATTACACTGCAAAAAATGGTATCTTGTCTAGTAAAATGATCTTAAATCTAGTCCAAATAGCGAATATTTCTCATTTTAAGATGGTTGTGCGCTTATTATATGAGTTTATTTATAGACATTTTTACTCATGTTTTAGGTCATTTTATTTAGTAAAATTTTCTCACTATTCTGGCAGATAACTTTGCTAGTTTCCAGCACATTTCTTAAGACAAGCAACATTGTCTGCCAATATAGTGAGTAAATTTTACTTAATAAAATGACCTAAACCAAGTAAACAATGCCTACAAATAAGTTAGATAATCTTAAATTATGCTTATAACAATCTCAACAGATGAGATATTAGATATATCAACTATATTTAAGACAATTTTACTTGACAAGATCCCATTTTTTGCAGTGTAAAATCCTTTCGCTTTAATGGCCATATATTTTAATTATGTTTAATTTATTAAAATAAATGACTGAACATTCTATTGTGTTACTACCAAATCAGTCACAACCCTACATAAAGCATACCACTATCAAATTTTGCCAAATGTTTCAGGAGTCACTGTTTTGGTAGTGACAATTTTTTCTCATTTTAAGCATAAGTCAACAGCACTAGCCAGGACATGCCTACCAAACACACTGAACAGTTGTACACACATAAAATCATAATATTTTTATGAAAACACAAACAATTTCATAAAATATATGTTTCAGCATTGACAATTCTTAATGTTCCCATTGATTTGCAGACTTTGGGACACTTTTACTTCAAAACGATGGGATCTAACTGCTCACCATGTGGCCATGAGGGACAGGGATGCAGCCTCACTTGCAGGGGTGTGGCTAAAATAAGGCTCTGCCCACAAACTAAAACTCTTTGCGTTTCCATAGTGACATGACAATGTTGGATCCCACTTGTTAAGGCAAATTGCAGTCTTTGATTAATCTTTCAGCTCTACTGTGCTGGTTGATGTTGGATGTTCTAAGTAGTTCCAGTAAAATTCTACAGAGAACTCAGTACCTGAGGATTTTTGGACCTGATGTGTGTTTACTAAACGTGGTAGCTACTTTTACTTCTACCTGAGGCATTATTTAAATTAGTTTTTAGACTCTTCTAGCCAGCTGTGACTCTGCATATCAATATACAGACAAAAACAGTCTATATGTGATGGACAGAGAACGAGAGAAAGAGCAAGGCCCAGTCATTTGGTTGCTGTCAATGAGAGATGATTCAATAATTTATTTATTGAAATACATTTTATTATACAATGATTTATCCCACAAGTTTTATATACAATTTACAAGTCAGAGGAAAGACTCTAACCATGTAGTTAGTAATAGCTTAGCAAGGAATCTTGAGCAAAGGGAGAGTTTTTTCAAAATAATTTAGGAATAACGTTAGTATTCGAATGTGAATATGCATCCTAATGCCGCAAATGTTAACGTACACACATAGCAAGTTTGTCAAGTCAAGTGAGTGTGAACGACGTACAGCTGCCGATGTACGATCACACAAACCAGGGGCCTTATTTATAAAAATTATGATTTTAAATTAAATTGAATTCTAAATTTGTTCTCAAAGCTGCACTATGTAAGTTTTGGGGATTTGGAGACCCCTCTGGTGGAAATGTGTAATTGCAAGCCACATCACTACATATGGAAGAACAGTTTAGTATAATTTTGATTTTGCATTTGAGACCTAAACATTGAGGCAGACCTTTTTTCGTATGATGTGGTCTGAAAAGCTCCTGACCAGACAATTCTGACTTTTAAATAGCAATTTCAGGCTTTAAATCTTACATAGTGCAGCTTTAGGATCAAAATGGCATATAAACACACAACATTCACAAATTACACAGTCTAATGCGCAATCATAAAGTAAATATTTGTGCGTTGTTAGCAACTTGTATTGATCTATGTACATTTTTGCGCCAAATTCACATTTTACAAACACAATTTCAACACATACGACTATATTATGATCAAATCCATATAATTTTTTTTCATAAACAAGGCCCCAGAATCATTGCTGAGAAGCTACAACCAGGGTGTCGTGGTCTCGCCCCGTTCACTGAACACAAAGGATCGCGATCGTCTCCTGGTCATGACTGCAGGGCCCTTCCTCTTTGTCAGGGTCAGATAGATGTCGGAGGTGAGAAACCGTGGGTAGCAGTCCTTCTTCATCAAGGCGTAGATTTTGCTCTGCGCTGCATCGAAACAGGACTGAGTTGGTTGGGCGATGTCCTTCTGAATGGTCTGCTTGGTCGAGTGGTCGATATTAATCTGCAAAACATGGAAAATAAAAATTAGGTTTGCTTTTGATCATCAAGAAGAAATGAAACATTTGCTATGGCATCTAGGAGCCAGCAACATCATTGTGCAAACCTAACGCAAAACAATGTCATAAAGCACAAAAACATCACGGAAAAAGGTAATTACCATCAATTTTGCATGGAAGGTACCAAGCAATTACCATGCAAAGCATAATTGCTGTCAGTCTAGACCACTTTCGTGTGAATAGCAGCTCTCATATTCCTTAAAACTATAAAGAATCACAAACCCACGCAGGAGATGTTTCTAAAAAGCTCCAGCTCCTCCTCCAAGTTTTTTTCCCCCCATAAAACAAAAACATGTAATTTGACCAGGGGCGCACAAACTTTTGCATCAGGCTGTATTGTTATACTCTTCAAAAAAGATGCAATAAAAGGAGCAAACCAGTTTTTTTTTGGTTCCCCAAAGCAAAGTTTTCTAACCATCACGTTGCATGAGGAAAAAGTAGATTCTTTATTTTTATTAACGTAATTAATATTCTTTTAGTAGTATTTTTATATAATGTAATTCTTGATGTTCTTAAATAATCTATAGGTTTGTAAATATGCATGCAATGATGAATTCATATATAAATTCTATAAGTAAAATTCTTTGAGCAATGCCATAGAAGAACCACTGCTGGTTCCCTAAAACCATGAAAAAGATGTGAATGTGAAGAACTTGTCAAGATTTGAAGAACCTTCAGAAAGTGTTCGCCTCTATATCAACTTAAAGGTTCTTCCTAGAGCATGTACATTATGTTGAGGTTCTTTACACCAAAGAACCACCCATTGCAAGGCTTTTTGGGGGTTCTTCTGCAGCATTGATCAAAGAACTGCTCATTTTTATAAGCAGAGCTGGGCAAAATAAGTGTTACTTCAAAACTCTTTAAGTCATGACTTCCTTGTATTCTTTTTTTTTTGGCAACGTTTGGTCTACGGTAAATGCTAAAGCTGCAAAGAGAGAGGTGTGAGCAACAGCAAAGCAGTCCAGTCCATTCTAGAGTAACTTCCTGAGTCAGCATTGTTCACAGTGGTGGTGGCAGGAACCAGACGTCTGAGTAGTTTAATGTGTCGAACAGCTACATTACAGAAAGTTATAATAGGAAATAGTTATGAATACACTGCTGGATGCCTGAGAGATCAGGTTTTTGGCGTAGAATTGTCTTTTAAGTTTTGTGCAGGGACTATTTTGCCTCACAACACCCTGCATGTACCACTCCACCAGAAATGGCTTCAAAAATCAGAATCAGATCAGATGTAAAAGCCATGGTGGAGGGGTACATGCAGGGCTTTGTGAGGCAAAATAGTCCTTGAGGAAAACTTCTAAGACAATTTTAATATTGACATTACATATAAAACCTCACATGCAGGATCACTGGTTGTTTTGGCTAGTAAATAAAATGGCTATATTTGTGTTTTAGACATTGGACCCCTGGTTCCTATCACCACCACTGTAAAGAAATCTAAGTTAGCACCATCAAACCCCTCTGAATGACTCTACATCTCAACTATTGAGTTGCTAAATGCAACATCAACGTAGAACAGCAGTTATTGTAATTCTACAACATGAACACTGAACACACTCCAGTTTGAACATTTGGCTGCTCTCACATGCCACGAATTATTTTCTGAAGAACTTAAAGTAGGGAGAAAGTTGAAGTTGGGCCTGAAAGTTCTTACAGAGCAACGAATCACCTAAATATTGAATAGATCTTGAAAGGCCGAATTAAAGCGGCCTGCCCTGTGGGTTATTCGGCGATGCTGGCTGATCTCATCGACTGCATAGTGCTCAGTGCATAAAGAATGCAGCACCTTTCAGTTACGCACAAAGCCCTAGAGTTTCCTCCTTGGCGAGTCTGTTTTCGAAAGCATCTCCATGTTATAATCATGCATGAGAAACTGCAGAAGTATCCCAAGTTTGCCTCTCGACACGGTTTAGACTTCTGCTCACGAGTTTTTTTTCCTGTTTGCACGTTCTTGTGTTTTCTCAGGCTGAGAGAGTGTGGGCGGTTGAGTGTCGGAGGGGGGGTTTCACAGACCCAGCTGTGACACATGCAAGCAGGAAAACCACACGGTCACATCTCCATCTTGGTCATGCGGCCACGCAACGCTCCGGACGCTGTGTGGCCAGCCGCACGGCTCAGCTTTCTCAAGTTACTCATGCAGATACAGAGGCTTTTCTTTCAGGCCGATGCCGTAGATGTCAAAGCTCAATTGACGAGCAAATGAAAGCGCTGCTAGGCCAGTGTGCACACTGGGTTTCAGTTGTAGTGGGCTTTGTTCTGGTAGGTTCATATCATGTACAGATAATCTAATAGATAGCAGGTGGCACAATGTGCACAGGGAATACTTCGGGCATGATCAGTCTGAAAAAATAAAGGTGCCAAAAGGTGCTAAAAGACTTTAAACGTGGCACTGTTACAGTAAGTGAAATTTCTGCTCTGCCAGGTCTGCCCTGGTCCACAGAAAGTGCTATGATCTTGAAATGGAAGAGTGTAGGAGTAAAACACAGCTCCGCCACGAAGCAGCAGACCATGCAAACTCAAACAGCAGGGTCACTAAGCGGTGAAGCGTGTAGTGCATCGCTTACTAGAGTTGCAAGCTGCACCTGAAAGCAACAGCACAAGCATCAGGAGCTTCATGAAATGGGTTTCCATGACTGAGCATCTGCACAAAAGTCTAAGATCACTATGTGCAATGCCAAGCATCGGCTGGAGTGGTGTAAGGCACACCACCACTGGACTCTGGAGCAGTGGACATGTGTTCTCTGGAGTGATGAATTGACACTATCTGGAAGTCTGATGGATGAATCTGGGTTTGGCAGATGCCAGGATAACACTACCTATTGTAATGCATAGTGCTAATAGTAAAGTTTGGTTGAGGAGGGATAATGATCTGGGGCTGTTTTTCAGGGTTTGAGCCCCTTAGTTCCAGTGAAGGGTGATGTTAATGCTACAGCATACAAAGACATGTTAGACATTTAGATGATTCCTCCTATGTGTCAACGGTTTAAGGAAGACCCTTTCCTGTTCCAGCATGACTGAGCCCCTGTGTACAAAGCAAGCTCTATAAAGACATGATGAGTTTGGTGTGGAGAGCCCTGACCTCGTGCTGAACCTCATGAACTCGAATGTCACTTGTGAGCCAGGCCTTCTCGTCCAACATCAGTGCCTGACCTCACAAATGCACTTTTGACTGAATGGGTGCAAATTCTCACAAACACGCCCAAAATCTTGTGGAAAGCCTTCCAGAAGAGTGGAGGCTGTTATAGTCACAAAAGGGGGCCATCTCCATATTAATGCCCATGGTTTTGGAATGGGATGTCCAGCAAGCTCATATAGGTGAGATAGTCAGGTGTCCACATACTTTTGCCCGTATAATGTAGCCTGCTATAGCTACACTAGAAATGAACACAACTCAGCTAAGCTTCCACCATCTGCAGAAACAGTGGAGAAAGGTGTTTAACGTTATATGTTGGTGTTAAAAAAGTGAAAAGTAAGAGTTCCAGGGGGCACTGCAATGTTACACGACCGATGGCGGAATGCAGCTGTGTAAATGTTGCCATGGCGATAGCATCCCTTGAAAATTGGTGATAAAAGGAGAGACTTAATTTTTTTTTCAGGTCAAAATAAAAGCACAAAAGAACAACAAAAGAACTCAACGCCTTCAGATTCATCCTGTATTATAAGAGCACCAATATGACAGGAGCCATTGTGTAACATTTTCATTGACATCAAAGGACTTTTTTTTTGTTTTGAGCAATCCAAAATTTGGCTCCCAAGTGAGGGAGCCTAGGCCTCTCCAGTCCTGCCCATAGCTACATTCACAGTCATAACAATGCGCCTCCCTGTAAAAGAACAGACTCAAAACACTTGAAGCCACTGGACAGTTGCTTCAGTACCCATTGGCTTTTATCATGTTTTCGGTTCCTTTCTAAGCACATGGAACACGTCTAAATCAGGGCTGCCCAAAGTGTGGTCAGTGGGCCAAAGTTGGCCCATGAGGATGTCTGATTTGGCCCACCAAAAGGTTACCCTAGCCACAACTCCTACCCAATGAAACAACATACTTTTATATATCTACACCTTAATAACTTCTTATTTTTGTAGTATTTTAGTAACGAAATCTGGAAAACTGTTATAAATTACATTTGAAACCGAGCTACGTTCCTTATTTTTATATTGTTTTGTCTTTTTGGCCTTTGACCCAACCACACATTGCACTTTGGCCCTCCAAGACAAAAAGTTTAAGCACCCCTGGTCTAAATAATGGTCCATGGCAATTGACCATACACTACAAATGATGAGGATACAGACTGGGTGGAAAAACTACTGGAGTATTCTTTTTCAGAACCAACCACTGAACCATGAACCACATTCTTTAGGGATCCAAGGTTGTTCTTCAATGGCATCCCTCCAAAGAGTCCTTTATGTTTTTAATAGTGTATACTTATACATAAGACATTCACAGAGGAACACAAGGCAGCTGTTGCATGTAGACTGAGCTTAATGATGGAGGCTTCATTGAAGGTCAAGAAAAGCATGATCTGAATAACTGTAATGTAGCGCTAATGAACATGAGTAAGGGCGCTTGCATACCTCTTTGGGGGCTTCTCTGTCGATGAACACGGCGTACATCTGCTTGGCCTTGGACTGCAGCTTGGTGGCTGACTCTGTGCTCTTGTAGTCCTCGCACGCCAGCCAGAATTCAATGTTCTCCTCGCTGAATTCGGTGCGCAAGAACTGCGTGAAGGCCTCTACCCCATCTAAAGCAGGAAAGTTGCACATGACATTTGGCATAAGTGGTCCTCTATAAGGCACAGTCTTGAAATAGAATATGCATCATAAAGTGGTTTGAATAAATTAGGGAAGTCTAGAACAATGGTTCTCAATCCTGGTCCTAACGTGGTCATGACCTGTATATTTTGGTGTATTCCTCGCTTTCAAAACAACTGATGGACTTAACAATTATCAAGCCCTTCCTGAGTTCAACTGGGTGTGTTAAAGTACAGCGAATGTCACACTAAGTCTAGACCAGGCTTGAGAATCACTGGTCTAGAACTGGTGGTGGAAATGGGCAGGACGCCCCCAAATAAGTTGTAGTTGTAGTACATTGTCATTTGTAATTTGTCCATGAAAGTGTAATTAATCTAGTACTAAAGAACCGTACTGTGAATGTCATGAAGTTAACTGACCAATAGCATGGTATGTAGCCACTTAAGCTGAGACATTAGAGTGTTTCTCCTGAGAGCTACTTTATTCCGAACAATTCAGTGTGCGAAACCTGCCACTGTTTTCTGAGTATGTGTTAAAATGTACCCTGCAACATAGCTAGATTTTTATATTTTTGTATAGAAGTATGCTATCTGCCTGCATCATTGAGCACATTCAACCAGCACAGCTCAACAGCTGCATTTACAGAACAGTCTTATCTATGTTCAGTACAATAAATGTGATATTAACCCCTTAAATGGCCAGAGCCCACTGGCAGGCCCAAAGTTTTATTACACACTTCTATAACCTAAGAATAGCTCAACGTGTTTGCATGGAAGTCTCTGTAGTTACTGATAAATAAGGCTTAATATGTAATAAGCCTTTAAACCAGCAGTAAATGAGAAACCTCACTTAACCACTGCCAGGCAGGGGCCTATTCACACTTTCACACTGTTTCTAAAGTGTGTTCACATAAAATTGATCATCAAATTGATCATTAAACGCCCCCAAATCCAGGCTACAGCCTATTCAGCTACTGAAAAGTTGTGGTATTGCATTGTTAGCATGCGGCATGTTTTGAAAGTATAGTGAAAGACTCCACGAACAATAATAAAAGTGCTCTGTGTTTAGTTTCCTCATTCCTTGGTGTCATTTGAATATCTAGTCTAGTCAATGTAATTGTTTTCATTTTTTTTTTACCAATTAATGATCAAGTAAGCTAATGCATTAGCTGGCAAAGTTAGTTAGCATGACTTAAATAGAAGATAATTACTGACACCTTGCTGGCTAGCATGCAAATGTCAGTCAGAAGAGGAGTAGAGCAGAGAGTTAGTGGTGTCAACACAGTATTTAATAGGTTAGCTAATGCATTAGCTGGCAAACTCGGTTAGCATGCCCCAAATAGAAGATAATTGCTGACACCTAGCTAGTTAGAGCTAGTTAGCATGCGAATGTCAGTCAGAAGAGGAGTAGAGAAGAGAGTTAGTGGTGTCAACATTCTAAATCTACATTTATTTCACAATAATTACCAAGTTAGCTGATGTGTTAGCTGCCAAAGTTAGTTAGCATGACCCGAATAGAAGATAATTACTGACACCTAGCTAGTTAGAGTCAGTTAGCATGCAAATGTCAGTCAGAAGAGGCAGAGAGAAGAGAGTTAGTGGTGTCAACATTCTAAATCTACATTTATTTCACAATAATCACCGTTAGCTAATGTGTTAGCTGCCAAAGTCATTTAGCATAAGCCTAAACGGAAGGTAATTCCTGACTCTGTGCTAACTAGCCTGCTAATGTCAGTCAGCTTTCTTATTAAAGAGGTAAATCTACATTTATTTTATGTTGATATCAGAATTCCAATACAGATGAAGAGCTAATCTGATCATAACAGTTAGTCTGCTATTTGTGTTTTATAGAGAGGAAAGAATAGTAGGGAAATGTGTTAACATATGAAATGCTATCAAGTCTGCCATTAAAAAATAGGGGAAAAAGTCAGCAGCTCTCAGACCTTTTTAAGTGATGTAAGGTGAAGTTTTAAAAACGTCAAGCATTTGGTTCCTGATTGTAACTGAAGCAAAGTGGTAAATTCTTAATGCAGGAAACGCACAAGACCCAACCATGTATTAGCATCTTTAGTGCTTGTGGTGGGCAGTTATACCATACCAAGCCATTTCCACCACTGGTCTCGAGCAAACAAACCATGACATTTGTTTACTTGAATCAACCTACAATGCAGAAGTGATGATTCTTGGTTTTGCATGCTGTACGGCTGCAGAGCTTCCTCACAGCAGGGCTGTTTCAGTAAATGCTATGTTTGTTTGCTGATCGTAAAGCTCTGAGCTTTTTTGAGCAGTGCAGGGGCTGGTTTGAAATGTCACACTACCACAAATGTCTCACGTTATCCTAATCGAGTTCCCTGAACCTTCGGTTCTCTGCAGGAGCACTACAGGCAGCCGTGAGCTAGCCCTTCTTCTTCTTTTTGTTGCAGAGCTCCAAACAGTGGGGTTTTGGTGATCTCAGACCGTGCTTCAGGGCACTCACTCAAATGTTAAGCTCTACTGCATGATCGGAGTTAACGGGATCTCACCTGGATGACCCAGTAGTTCTTCAAAGGAATCGCTCCATCTCAAAGCCACCTCAGGAGGGATGCTGCAAGCCATGGATAAGATGTTAGTTCATCTCTCAAAGCTGCAGATTGTGGTCTTCAGAGAAAGTGTTTCTAATGTTTTATCATGTCAAATGGCTTAGCAGTATCTAGATTAGTCAAGTGATGAGGACTTACTTGTTGGTTTTAGCTGGTGGCTTTTTCTCAGGACTGACGTTTTCATGTGATCCAGACTTGGCCAGCAGAAGGCTGAGTCTACTCTTTTTGTCCTTTTCCTTTTCCTTGTTCTTATTTCTACACAGAGAGAATGATACACAAAAATGTTCCATAAAGGCCTGCATTGGTACCCTCAAGGTACATCTCCAGTACCTTTAGTTAGGCAAAGTAAAAAGTGCACCCCTGGAAAATGAAAGCAGTTTTGGGCCTTTGAGGGTGCATTTACATTGTTTGTACACTCTTTAAAAAGGTGGTTCTTTGAGAGATGCCATAGAAGATCGATTAGATTAGATTCTCTGTATTAGATTAGATTCTTTGTTTTCGCAGTCTGTGTCATGCACACATTTTCTGGAAAGAAAAAAACTTCTTGGAAATGACTAATTACTCCTTAAACCGTAAACGTATTATTTCAACTCCCGGCATCCTGGAAAAAGTAATCTCACTACTCATTACTTCTGTTTTACTCTCTAAAAATGGCCTGTTTAGCTGAGGATGGTCTCTTTCCTCTTCAGTGCAGAGATTTTGATCTGTCAGATTTACATTAGTGTGATTCGATGCTTCAAAAGATCACTAGGTGAATTTATGGCACTTCTTGGCCAGGCACCGATAATCTATATAGAGGAAATTTACGGATTAAATGCATCACATGTCAGATTGTTCTCTTATTTATTTACTTATTTTCACCCAAATTCTAACCCTACTTCTGATTCTCATGTGTTTCTCATTATCCCTTTTTTTTAATTAGAAAAGTGAGTTTGTAGTAGTCTGTTTTTACAATGAATCTCTTTAATGTTTTCCTTGCAAACTGTAAGGATGTGAAGCGAATGTGTTATGATAATGAGACCCTTATAGAACACTATATTTTATTAACATCTTTTAATGATAAGCTTTAAAATACTTAGTCAGACTTTATACAGTACACAGATTGTGAAAAGAAAGTCAAACACTGTTTTCAGATTTATCTTCAATCCTTTTGTGGTAATGAGAATTTAGTCACTTAAAAATCAGTTCAGGTTTCTTTTCAATTATTTGACCAAGCATCATTGTTTTGTATCCAGAAACATTAAGATTTAGTCATTTACCTTTTATCAAGGTGGGTTCCAGAAACTAATACACAAGTATTGCAGCTTTTATTTGGTAACTGCAATGTGTTACTGTAGCATGTTACAATAAACACTAAAAACATCACATAATGTAGCACAATGCTCACATGATAATAACTTCACATAATGTTAAGCTTCTATACCAGTTTCAGGTTTGGAGGTTATTTAAACTTTAAAAGTTAACACTCACACATATCTCATTTGCAAAAACGGTACGCCAAAGAACCGTGCATTGAGAGGTTCTTAGTGAAACCACACGTGGTTCTTCCATGGAACTCTTTTTGGTGCCTTTATTTTTAATACAGAACCTTGGGGAGGGACAAAAAATCTACTTTCTAATCTGACATTGTTTATTGTATGAGGTTAGATGCACCATATGTAGTGTGCAGGCCTTTGCACTGAATGGCAGCAGCACAATGCTAATCTATTGTGACCAGCTAAAAGAGGGGAAGTATTGCTTCACCCTAGAAGACAAAACATCAGGAACCATGTCTGTTCTCAATGCATAAACCTTCTTTGAAAGAACTTGCTAAGATGGATTTTATAAGAGAAGCTGGCTTCATGAACCAGAACCGTTTTACATGAGGTTCCTAAAGGCTCTTAATAGCAAGGTTTCGCTCTCTATATCGCTAACGAAGGTAACTGAACAGCGAATATCTATTATACTAGTCAAACCAATAGGATTACTGCTACTGTTACAGACATTTTGCCATCATAGTGTTATTATTCCCTTGTGCAGCCATGGGTAAAGAATTTGACATTGGCATGAACTGCATTGGAAGGCAGGTGACAACAGGTTTCCATCCTGCTTTGTAACTATGTCAATAGATGGTTGAGTAAACAGCAGGAAAGTCTGGATTCAACATGCCCAGCGACAGCTAAACTGCTGTGATGAAACATGTTTGAATTAGCATTGTCGTACATAGAGTTGAGTAATGCAAATAAAGGAAGTCTCTCTTCAACCTTTTCTAATCATCCAGCAAAGCCTATCATACTGAAGAGCTGCACATCTTTGGCAAACCAGCATGTTCCTTGAGTTTAAATGCAAGAACGGCAGTTTCTTTTGGGAAAAAAACCTTAAAAAAACATACCTTGAGTTGCTGTCTTTCATTCTGGAGGCGCGCAACTCGGTCTCACCGAGCATTTTGAAATACACTTCCTCCTTGGGTGCAGAGAAGTTGAATTGAGGAAACAGAAAAACAAAGGTCTCCATGCTCTTCCTCTCTCGCTCTCTCTCTTTCTCTGGCTTTCTCTCTTCTGAAGGTGGACACTGGGACAACCTTATTTAACCAAACCCTGAACCCTGCGATTTGCATCAAGTGTGTTAAGAGGTCATTTCCCATACCTGTTAACAGTGACTTCCTGTTGAGGGAGCTGCCCCTGCTTTACCGTAACACAGCTGAGAAAGTTTTTCCAAGGTATTGAACGCAGAGCTATCAGCAAGATATGCTTTTTCAAGGCAGCTGGGTGGATGGATGATGACTGGTTGGGGAAACTCTTAAGCACTTGGACAAACCAGTAATGGTTAATATGGATTGTAGGGGTCCGTGTAAGACTGTAGACGGTGTAGTGAAAATTTAGTTCTTCTTCATGAGGGCCCAGTGGGCTACGTTTTGGGGACACTCAAATGAATCTGAAGACAGAGTCAAAGTCTTTGTAAAGTTTGTGAAAGTTCAGCTTGACAAAGCCGTTGGCGTAAAATTCCAGGTGGTTGCTAAGGTGTTGCTAGGCCGTTGCTATGGAATCCTGGGTGGTTTCTAAAGTGATGCTGGCTCATTGCTATGGTATCCAAGGTCTTTGTTAGGCCCTTGCTGTGGTATCCATGGCTAGGCTGTTGCCATAGTATCCCGGGTGGTTGATAATATACATATATGCACACACACCCATATATATGTGCTAATATGAATGGATGCAATGTCCCTGAAAGTGAGTGTGAGAGATGTCCTTTGTAACAATTTGTGGCAGAAATGATATGAACATGAAATGCGATAAATTATGATCAAAATAGTGTGTCTCTGATTGGATGTGCGATAAATACAGACTTTTTTGCAGTATAAACAGAAATCTCATTGAACTCTCCTCTAACTCCTTGACCACATCCCACTAGCAGGCCCAAAGTTTTACTATATATTTCAATAACTTAAGAATAGCCCAGGCAGTTTGCAGTGAAGTCCCTGTAGTTACTGAATAGTAAGGCTTAGTACAGGGGTCGGTAAAGCGAATGTTAAAAAGAGCCATTTTGTCCTTTCACTAAAAATCAAACCACCATAAAAACATAATCTAAACAAAAACGCAAACGTACTTTGCTCTGCTTTAAGGTTTAGCTCAGCTTTTTCACATCTCTGGCAGGAAACGTTTCTGCAAAAGTAGAATAGTTTTTTGAAAATGTCTCTCAACATACAAATTTTCACAAGGCTGAGGTCAGCTTTTCATTCTCCAGCTCTAATATTCCAGTTCCACCTTAAATGGTGCATGAGGCGCCAGAATGTAACTGCTCCACCATTTAAGGTGGAATGGGAAAATTCTAATAAGAAGCTGGCGAACAAGAAGCTGACTATAGCCTCGTGACTTTTTAGTGTTTGACAGTTTCTCGTTGCAGATTAAACGTATCAGGAAACCAGCTGGAGTGATTATAAATGCAAATAAGTCCATTTGTCTCCAAATCATCGATGTTGGTCTTAAATCTTTCTCTTTGTCGTTTCATTAGCTACTGGCTTGGCAAGGTTGTCTGCGTTGCTATGCTGACCAGCAGTCTGCGTGCCAAACTTCAGGGTCAAAGGTTGGTGAATTAGCAGATATAGGCTACATTAACTCCAGCGTTTAAGACCATTTATTGTTAAAACTGTGTTAAAACGGTCAGCAGAGCTTTATTTTACTGCAAAGGATGAATATTTTATCTTTACTTAAAAATCTAATTCTGCTGTGGAGCCGCAACAGGGCAGTAAGCCACGTGTTGCCAACCCCTGCCTTTTTTTGTGCACTGTGGTGACTTCATTTGGCTTTACACTTAACATTTTTGGCTTTGACACTTTGCTTATACCTCTCTGCCAAAATGTTAAGTATATATATATAATATATATATAATATATATATAATATATAATATATATATACACACACACGGACACACACACACTTATATCTTAGACTAAAACCTAATTTTAAAACAATGTTTCGGGCATTAGACGTATTCACAACCATTTCAGGAAATAACTCTGTGAGGGACCTTTTAGAGGTATTAACACCTCAGACGTCTGGTTCCTGTCACCACCACTGTGAACAGTTCTGACTCATTTCGCATCAAACCCCTCTGAATGACTTTGTTTACATCTTAATGATTTAATTATGCAGACATGAAAAATTCCCCTTTGATGTCAGGCCTGATCTCATATTACTGTTATATCAAGGCATATTTTGCATTGTGGCTTCTCTTATGTATCTTTGGCCTTGCGTTTAAGAAAGTGCTTGTACAACATACATCTTTAAGACAGCTATAAATCAGTTTGGTAGATTATCAGGGAACTGCAGTCATCGGATCTTTGTGGTTAATGCATGGCTTCAAAACACTTCTTTGTTAGAGAAGTTGCTGGTGTTGGATGTATGAAATGCCAGTGACCGACTGGCCCTGTTGTATTTCAGGGTGGTTATTGCTCAAAATTGTGTTCGCATGTTGAAATCTAGGGTAGTAACTTCACTATTAAAAAAGAAGGTCATATGGTTCGGACTGGGTCATGGTGTCTGGCTGTCAACCATCAAGTAAAAAAGAAAATAAGCTTGTCCTCCTAAATAGTTGCCATTGTGACGATAATGTGTATCAGCTCATCTAGTTTTAGAGAATACTGCTGTGTTAAACTCGACCAGAAGCTGGCAATGTGTCGCGTGAGTCCACAACACTGCCACAAACAGTTTTCCACCACAAACACTTTTCAAGACACGAGGTGTCCGAGGTATAAAGTGGGGGGGGTTGGTTACAGGACTTGAATTGTACTACGAGGTGATAGGTAGGCTGATTTGTACAGACATACAATCTACTTGAATGAAGCTACCATTCCATTTACAAATAATGCATCATTTTTCTAAACTGCATCACTTTTTCAACCATCCATATATGACATATGGTATATGCTGACAGCAGTCATCTCTATCTCTCCAGAACTAGAAATAGCCCAGGGTGGTCTGGCTGTTGGACCACAGCCACCAGTCTTTTATCTCTTCTCTTTTTACTACCAAAATATTTAACATGACTATGAATTATGAGCTCATACCACCACTGAATCTTTTGTGGTAAATGAATCCCTGCCTCATCCCTGCCTAGGCCGCTAGACTTAATGACTTTTGAGACCCTCTTTACTGAGCGACTTTATTTCTATAAAGCAATGAGTGACAAATCTCGTGAGGGGAAAAACAAGAAATATAAATCTTTTATTTTAAGATTTTATTTGAATATTTTAAGACTATTGTAATTTATTCCCATGCATGCTAACCATTTTTTATTGAGTGCTATAGTTTACTATAACTCTACTCATCATTGTAGCTACTGTATGATTTTCTGACAGTTTGCAAAGTTACTTAGTTAGTACCCAATTTTATCAGTCAGGCTTCACCATAGTTTAGCACAGTAAAACGGTTGCCGTAGTCAAAATACATGAAACTAGAACTGTCCCCTCTTTCTATTTCATAGGTAAAACATTGGATATTTTAATGATATATTGACCTGGAAATGTCCTCGGTTTTCATTACCTTACTTTATGTCAAAATATGTACGAAGTAAAATCCTAAAAACAGCAATCAGCACATTAACATACTGTCCTAGTTCACATTCTGTTGCAGTGGTTGTGTGATAGTGCTTGGCAACTTCATCTGGATGAATAAAGGATTCCCTAAATTGTAAGATTCAGCTGCCAGTGCCAAAGTCAGAGGATCCCTCAGTGGGATTAATACTTATAGCAGCTCTACATTCTTTAGAAAGTTTGACATTAGAGTCTCAAACACAAGATTTTACCATTATTGTTAATGTTTTGGCTGTTCATTGTAAATTGTGCTGTAAATTAAGCTTCTCCCTGCTAAAAGACCAGCACAGATCAGCATAAATTCCACATTGGTCTAAGCTGATCTGTGCTGTTTTATGGTGGTCTAGTGCTGCTCTGGTTTAGCTGGTCACCCAGCATGGTCATGCTGGTTGACTGTCATACCACCATCCAAAACACAACATATGCTGGTTTTGGTGGTGAACAGCATATCAACTTCCAATGCTGCTGACTAGCATATCTGCATTCACAACATGATAGCTATGCTGTTTTTCTAGCAAGGCCTGCTGACTGGATGCAAGTTATCCACCAGAAGTATAACCAACCTCTATGTTACTGATTCTGGTTTGGTCTATAGAAAAATAAGAACTGAAGCACTACATACAGTAAATGCACTATGTAAGAAAAATAGGAGAGCAGTTGGCGTGTCTGGTAGTTCCCTCCAGCACGGACAAAAGGCTAGTTGGACTTGGCCAAAGGCTGAAAACATTTGAACTTTGTATGACCCTGAGCGTCTGTCACAGCAAACTCCATTTCAGCGGCGAGAGCAGCAGATTTTTTGCAAAGCAGAGAAAAAGCAGAGCAGAACATCAGCACAACATCACACATCCCTAAATGGATAGACTAAAGAAACTAGCACTTATTGTGCTTCATTTTGAGGGGAAAAAGTCTACAGAGTTTTATTCTCCCCCCTCAGCCCATGTAAGCGTTAGCCAGCGTTAGCGAAGTTCAGAGAAAAGCAATATTCTAAATGAGATCTCGTCAAGTCCTTGAAATAAGAGTGAGACTTCATCCAGAAACCTTGTTGCTCTCAGTTTGCAACGGAGTGGTCATTTTTTTCTCCTGTTTACACAAGGCGTAGCTACCATGAGGTAACGGAAAAGTACTAGACTGTAGCCTGTTCACCCTGTTCCGTAAGCAGCCATTTCAGCTAACGTATCACCTGGAGACACAACACATCTAACCCTGAAGGTCTTTTAGTCTGGTGGGCCTGGCTACTCAAAGTACCGTGTAACTAGTGGCGTTAGCCTAGCTGAGGTTAGCAAAACAGGCACTGTCTGAGGAGGGCTGGAGAGCTGTAACAGGAGTCGGGGCTTGCAGCTTGAAATGTAGCCGCTGGGCACTGACCTAGATCAAACAGCCTGAAGAGACTAGAGTAGGCCGGCTGGCTGACAGCGTCTTTAGCTTAGCCAAAGTTAGCGAGGCTAGTGCTGTAACAGAGGACCAGTGAGCCGTAACGGGGGCCAAGCGTAGCTGCAAAACTCCTTGAAAGTTTCCCAGTGAAATGTAGCCGCTGGGCACTGATCCAGCTCGAGTGCTGTACATGGCTCCAGTGTGTCTTTGG